CGACGGAAATAATCGCCGTTGTGTTTTGGGGTTTAGGAGTTGACCCTGGGCTACATGCTTAAGCTGTGTTTCTGCTTCCTGGCGGGTTGCTCTCCTTATCTCTACTTGCCTGCTTCTTCCTACCTCAACGAAGCCCGCTGGACGTGGGGAGACCAGACAAACCTGAAAGGATTTATGACCCATCTTCTCCGGGAAGAGTACGGCACGTTCAATCTGGTAAATAGCCAGGCTTTGTCTTCGGAACAAGGTGTCCCTTACTTATACCTCACATCGGTCCAGTGAGGGATCTTTTGAGGCACGGAGGTCAGCCTGCTTAGAGGCAGGAGAGGTTTAAAATTATTACCGTTTTTCTATTTTCCGGCACAGTTTAGAAGCCTTTGTGTTTGTTCCCGAGGATGGCTGAAAGCATTTGCTAGTCGGGGGGGGGAGTCATTTTTAATCCCCGTCCAGATCCTTCTTTGCAGAGCTGTTTCATTCCAGAAAGGGGGGGGGCAAATCATCGTGGCCGCTGTGATTTTCCCCGGTCCCAAGTGATGGAAGAGGGGGGGAGACTGGGTCAGACGTCCCGTTGCACACCCACAATTACTTTGTCTGCGGGCAAGTGAAATATTAAGGCAAAGGGGAGGGCTTTTGGTGCCATCAAGATGGTGTTTGTTGCTGTTAACGTGCTGTGTAATGGCTTCCGACTTAATAATGACCCTATGAACGAGGGACCTCCACAGTCTCCGGCCACCAACAGCCTGGCTCAGCTCTTGCACACGCAATGGCGTGGCTTCCGTTATTGAGCCGATCCAACTCGTATTTGGGCTTCTTGGTTTGTTGTTCATGGCTTGTTGTGTGAAAGACAGCCCCCGGAGGGTGAAAAAATAAGTGTACTACTTACGTACCGCCCTGTGGTGCTTAAAAGCACTTTCTGGATGGTTTATAATTTCATTATGCAGGCTACACATGACCCACCCACCCCAGCAAGGTGAATACAGTGGTGCCTCGCTTGACGAGGATAATCCGTTCCAGCGAAATCTCTATAGAATGAAATCGTCATCAAGCGAAATTTAAAAAGCCCTTTGGAATGCATTAAAACCCGGTTAATGCATTCCAATGGGTGAAATACCTCAGTGTCCAGCGAAGATCCTCCATAGGGTGGCCATTTTCTGGTGCCTGTAATGCGAGGAAACCATCCTAAAGCACAGCGGGGAGCCATTTTACACAGTGGGTGGCCATTTTGAAAACCTGACGATCAGCTGTTTTGATCGTGGTAAAGCGAAAAATTGGTTCCCGAAGCAGGGAACCGATCATCGTGAAGCAGAAAAGCCCATAGAATCATTGTTTAGCGATCACAAAAAACTACTCATCAAGCGATTTCCTTGTCTAATGAGGTAATCGTCAAGCGGGGCATCACTGTAGTCAATTTACCAACCTCAGAAGGATGGAAGGCTGAGTCAACCTTGAGCTGGTGGCCTCAGCCTGCCGGGATCAAATTCAGGTTGTGAACAGAGCCTGGACGGTTACACTCCAGTTTAACCAATTCAATGAGGCACCTTGCACCGTTGCCTTTCCACTCTGCCTCTCCTGAACAGGATTTTGGCCAAGGAGAAGTCGCATAAATGAGCCACAATGGGGAGATGTCATGAGCTGGTTTGCTCTCTTAAGGTTTAAAGTACAGTGGTGCCCCGCAAGACGATGTTACGGTAATTTGTGCCATTGAAATCGCTGTCTTGTGAAAACATCGTCTTGCGAAAAGCGTTTTCCCATTGGAATGCATTGAAACCCGTTTAATGCGTTCCAATGGGGAAAAATTGTCGTCATCCAGAAAAAATCGGCCATAGGGAAGCCGCTTTGCGAAGCGCCAATCAGCTGTTTTAAATCGCTGTCTTGTGAAAAACGGGCCTGAAAACACCCGTTTTGGGAAGCCATTTTGTGAAGCTGACGATCAGCTGTAAAAATCGTCATCTTGCGAAAAAACGGTCCGCGAAGCCCGGACCAAATCGTCGTCCAATGAAATTCCCCCATAGGAATCACTGTTTTGAGAAGCAAAATGGCAGTCTCAAAACCTCATCATCATGCGGATTCGTCATTTTGAGGGGAATCGTCTTGCGAGGTACCACTGTACAAAAAAAGTGGGTATGGAGAGAGACTCGCAGTTAAAATCCTAAATCAGCACACCATGTGGCATGAGAATGGGGTTTGGCGTGAATGGGAAACAAATGGAATGGATTGTCCTGGCCAGGAGTGTGAGCAACCATCAAACTGTGTGCTGCATGATTTTATTAGATGTCCTGCTCGCAGCTCCTCCTGGAGTATTACCGCCAGCGCTCCGAAGGCTGCTTTCAGAGATGATGTTGCAAGGTGCAAAAGGAACCGACGTTTTCCATTCCTTGACAGTGAGCTAATACCTAAAGCCCCTCTAAAATAATCCGTGTGGACGTGGCTAGCAATTCTGGGGGTAACTTTGGCCAGGAGGGGACGGGAGTGTGGACCAAAAGGTGGGCTGTAGCTGCTAAAGTTCCTCTCACCAAGTAATTATTCGGCGTCTTCTTCTCCCTGCAGGCAAAATCAGAAAATGGCTCCAGTATGGCTGAGACATTGCTGTAAGTTGAATACAGGAATCCCATTGAGTTCCTTAAGACTTTCTCTCTGAGATAAAGGTGTAGGATCACAGTTTTCCTGATGAAAAGGTATATGATTTGGGCCTCCCCTCTTTGAGGTGTTCAGCCTTTGCAAAGTTTTGCCGGGAAGATTTTAACCTGTACCTCCCAGACCAAATGTATAGATTGGAACCGCAGCGTAGAAATTTTACCTTTTCTGAGAATCGTGCAGCCATGCTGGGGGCTTCTGGGAGGTGTAGTCCTAGAAAAGCAACTTTTTTGAGTTGCAGTTGGAACTTAATAATGCACAGGTGTCTGAAAGAGTGCCACACACTTCTCTTGATTTAGAGGACGTAGCGAAATGCATTTCATCGTGCATCATTTGAGAGAAGATGCATATGTAAAAATTTTAACTGTATCTGCGGAAAAGGGAAGGGGTTGTCTGGCTTTGAAAACTCTGAACAGAAAGAGGACAAAATAGAGTTATGGGTAAACACTTGGAATGTGATTTTGGATTTTTTTTTTTACTACAAATCTCATAGTTCTCCATTCTAGGAATTCTGCCAGACAGATTCCTTATAGGCACCTGAGTTTCGCTCACCTGAAGAAAATATATTTTTTACTTCAAATCCCATAGTTATCCATTCTAGGAATTCTGCCGGACAGACAGATTCCTTACAGGCACCTGAGTTTCGCTCACCTGAAGAAAGGCCTAAACTGCGAGGTTTTGTGGCCTAGCTAGGCCTAGCTCCACCTAGCTTCTAGGCCTGGCTAGGCCTAGCATCACCCAAGCTTCTTTTTCAGAAAGAAAGCTCTAATTCAGACTTTTCTTTCAAGTGAACGACATTTAGGTATGTGTTTGTCCCATGTCTTGTCTGTCTGGTAGGACTCCAAGAATGGAGAATTAGGGGATTTGTAGTCCAAAAACACACACCCCCAAAACATCCCTAGTAGGCAAATTTCAAAGTGACACAGATCAGAAAGTACCAATTACAGTGGTGCCTTGCTAAACGAGCGCACTGTACAACGACGAATCCGCATAGCGATCCCCTTTTCGGGATTGCTAATGCGGAGGCATACCGATCGTTCCAGTGGGCAAAACTCGCATAGCGACGATCGGTAAGCGTTTCGCTTACCGATCTTCGCTTTGTGATGCCCGCGGATCAGCTGTTCGGCAGTTCTAAAATGGGCGCCGGACACCCGAAATGGCCGCGCGCAGCGTTTTCGCACCCTCCCCTCGCTTACCAAGGGCACGAAAATGGCTGCCGCTATGGAGGAAACTTTGCTGAACGGTAAGTTTAGGGCCCATTGAAACGCATTAAATGATGTTTAATGCGTTCCAATGGGTTTTTATGTTCCATTTAGCGATGTTTTCACATAGCGAGGGTTAATCCGGAACGGATTAACCTCGCTATGCGAGGCACCACTGTAACTTTTTTCTCCCTGTGATATATTGATGTCTTGACAGATTCCAGGTGAGCCAGATGAAGATGGAGCTTTCGCCCGTCGTCCAAGCTTTGGCAGTGATGGCCTGCTTCTGTGCCTCCGCCAGGTATAGAGGGTTGGGTTTTTCTCCTTCCCTGATGTTTTGTCTTCATTTTCGCTTTAGCGGTCAAGAAGCTGCAAGCAGGATTCTCCTCTGTGATAGGCTGCTAAAAGGCCAGGGACCCACTGCGGAACATCAAATATCTTTGATGCGGTGTACCACTTTGACAGGTTCAGAGAACTCCGTGGGGTGCATAGGATTGTGTAGGCAGAGTATGGGGCTGTTCAGAATATAGGGCTGGGATGTGAGAGACATTGAGTCCGACCGCTACTCCATCGTAACAATCCCCGGGTGATTTCGGGCCGGCGGCTATGGTGGCGGGAAGAACGGAATGAATGGAAGGGAGGAGAGGGAACCACAAACCAACCTCAGCTGCTTAGAGAGTTCTGTCTGTATCCAGCACAACTTTTAGCCCTGCCGCCGGGTTCTGACCAGTCACTGGACTACAACACCCATCAGCTCACTCAGAGCAGCTGGGGATCATGGGAGCTGTAGTCCAACCATGCACCATTAGGAAAGGCTGGCTCAGTCTCCTTAGATTCCCTAGCCAATTGTCAAATCATAGTTTTGGGGAGCTGGGGCCGTCTACTGAACATCGATACACTGCTGGGCCCATTATCCCCTAGCAGGGCCGGCCTGGCTACCACTGATGGGGGAGTGAATCTCACCAATATTTAGAAGGCCTCCATCACTGCAACAGCTCCAGTCCTAATCAGAGCTCACAAAAATTCATTTTTGGCGGGCCTGTTACTCCCGGGGGCAGTCTGTGGTTCATGGCAATGCCGGCTGGGGGAATTCCAGACGCTGTAGCTGGGAAAAGTAACTTTTCCAAGCTCTTTTGAAATGCTGTTCTAAGCTATATTAATCAGAGATGTTCTATTTTATAGTTTTATCTGTTGTGAGCTGTCTTGGGTCGCTATAGAGAGAGATTTATGGATGGAGATGTAAGGCAAAAGATGTAAATCACAGCAATGAATGCTATTGGTTAAGGAATCAAAACTTTTATTCCCCATCTGCTCAGAGTCACAACGCTGCTGCGAAACAAGAAATACAAGATTTCTTAACAAGCAATAATGCACTGCCGTGATTTATGCTGCTTAACTTCATGCTGGCAAATGCAAGTATTTTAATTCCTGCCACTATCTTCGGACACTATGGACCAAATTCTGTTGCGTCGTTTTCCTGGCGTAACGCTAGTGGCGTAAGTTTTGGAGGCCAGTGGCCGCAGGTTAGGAAATTACTGGAAACGGGGCCTGTAGCATGCTCAGTTGTGTGATTCTGCACACAATGGATAATGCCTGTGGTGGTTTCTTAAACTGAGGCCGTTTGCCTCTCAGAATTACTCCACTGGCGTTATAGTGCCGTAGCTGTTCAAGAGGATTTTGGCCTTAATATTATTTTTGTTTATGTCAAGCAGCTACTTTTTATACGGTCCCCAGTTTGCCTGGGATGAATTGCCCTAGAAAAAAATTCCCGTCCCTTTGACGTTGGCCCTGCATTTCCATCTGTTATATACCATATTTTTTGCTCCATAAAACGCACTTTCCTCCCCAAAAAAGTGTGGTGGGGAAGTGTCTTCGTCTTATGGAGCGAATACTGTAAAACAGCACTCCCCAGGGCCCAGCGGGGTGGAGTGGGGTGGGGGAAGCCTCGGAAGGGTCCAAGAGTGCCTTCCACGACCCTTCCCAGCCATCCTCCAAAACCACCCTCCACAGGCCCAGCGGGGTGAAATTGCCAGAATATTTTTTCCTGTTTTCCTCCCCTAAAAATTAGGTGCGTCTTATAGAGAGGTGCGTCTTATGGAGCGAAAAATACGGTACATATGATAGAAACAGAATATATTGTATAGCTTCCCGTTTTTCCACAGAGAATGCAGCTGTCCTTTGTGGGTTTTTTTTCTCCTTAACATGGTTTCTCTAATTCCTTCTCTTTTTTTCAGGCTAAAGATGGAAAAGGCACATTTGGTCTGGCTTTTTACTTCGATGCTCTTGACGTACTCGCTTTTCTTTGCTTGGAGAGCAAATCTGGATATTACAAAACCTCTCTTTAAAGGAGTGGTGAGTTTTGCAGTTGGCTAGTAACTTGATTTAGGGGAAATCTCTTTCCTTGACGTCTGAGGAAGTGGACTTGTCCACAAAAGCTCACATTAAAAAGTTTTAAAAAGTTAGTCTTTTAAGATGCCACCTTGTTTGTCTTTTTCAACTTTTTATTTCTGTTTTGCTTTTACCTATAATAACTTTGTTTTGATTATCATCATCTTGTGCAGTCAAGTCAATTCTGACTGGTGGCGACCCTTTTTCAGGTTTTCCAGCAGTCGTTTCTCTTTCCCTTCTTCTGGGGGTGCACTTTTTCAGAAGTGGTTTTCCCTTCCCTTCTTCTGGAGGCTTCCTGGGACGGTGCAGCTGGCCCAAGGCCACCCAGGCTGGCTCTCCTCCATGAAGGCACAAGTGGGGAATCGAACTCCCAACCTCTGGTTCCACAGCCAGATCCCTAAACCACTGATCTATCCAGCCGGTGTTTGTTTGTATAAAGGACCTTTTTTCTTGTAATTATCTAGCGTGTGAGAGAAGTGTACTCTCCTTTTAGAAGGTAGGTTCTCCTGGCAGATT